GTGAGCTGAATATAATGAAAAATTCAAGTCATAACTGAAGCTAAAAAATATTTTTTCATAATGAAGATTCATTATGCCAATAGTATAACCATTGTGACTTCCACAAACTGTGTCAATGCCATGGTTGGCAGTGTTTCTTTTTAGCAAGGAAACATGGTGAATGCCCTTGATCTAAGACTTTGCAAGAATGGTTGATTAATCCCTCAGTTTGGAAAGAATAGGCATGTTGACTGATATTTAAAATAATTTGAGAATTAACCCCCAATAAACATACCATGTTAGTTACAAAACTTGTCTTATTATGGCTATATTCTTAAACAAGTAAATTAATTATGGAAAATTAAAAGTAACACATGTATTGAAGAAAATAAGTGTTTTTTCCAGGAAAAACGTATTAGTTTTTGAAAAAAGGCAGACCTTGCTTATATAGATTGCTTAAAATTTGTCTGTGGAAGAGACCAGAGATGCATAATCAAAAAAAAAAGATGATAGACTTTTTATTTTTCATGTGAAACAATCAAATACTAAGTTGTGATTTATTATGTTACATTACACATGAATGATTACAATAATATTTCTTAAATATTGAAACATCTTTCAAATTGTCTATGTTCCATTCAAAATTCAGTCTACAATTTAAATTCTTCTAAGCTCTTGAATTCATTCCCCACTAACTATGTTATTAAAATACCTCACTATTTTTGGAAGATATTGTGAAGGTATTTCTGGCTTCATGAATTATACGGGCATCTGTTCTTTCAATCAACAGGGAACCAAATGTTTTTTACATCAATCTGTGTGAAACAATGTATATAATACTATTTTATTTCCCATGAGCTTTGAGTAAGCACTGACTTGGTAGTAAAAAATGTTTCAGTGATTAGGATGGCGGAAAGGGGATGAAAAATAGTAAACAAAAAATGTATTATAAATAGGACAGTCTGTGAAAATTTTAAAAAAAGAAAATAGAATAAGTAGAATAGGATAAGCAGCCTAAAAATAGAAAATAAAAAAGAATTTAAGGTATAACATAACAATAAAAAATTTTTTAAAAAAGTAGCTATGATACCTTTCTACGTTTCTATTCCACATAGACATTTAAAATTAGTAAGATTAGCAGAACTTGACAATTTTAACCACAAAGCTGCTCCTCTATTAAAAGGTTATTTCTTATGGCTCTAATATTATATAAAATACGATATTTGGAAAATATGGAAGTTTATAAAAATTGATATTAAGTTCTGATATGCATTACATGGATTTTGTTTTACTCCATCAAAATCACCTTTATAAGAATTTATCCTTTAAGAATGAATCACCTAAAGTAAACTCGGATATGCAAGAACTTTACCTAATACAACCAGCAGGCTGCTATGTTCTCTCCACAGTGACTTCTAGGCTGAGAAAGGATTCCAGCCACAAGTCAAGAGTCCGTTACTCTTTTACTCCATTAAGTATCATGTTGCTCTTTAAATCTTATGAAAATGAAATGCTGTAGCACAGGTATTCATCAAATATATGTCATGTGACATATTTGGATTAATTGTCTAAAGGACTTATGCGTTGATTTGAACCCTGGAAAATGACCTTGTCTAGACCTAAGATTCTGTGATTTTTACAGTTTTTATTCTATTTTTATCTTTCTTAGTCAAAGAGAATAATTCTTATAGGGCTTCATTAATATTTCCTCCACTCTGCATTTTAAAAGGATAAACAGGCAAAAACCCAATATTTAGTTAAAAATCCAGTGTTTTTCTCTTCTAAGAAATATTAATAGATCAGTTGTTTCTTGAACAATAAGACCATGTGGCAACTCAATCACTGAAATCATAATTGAAGAGAGGAAAGACAAAAGACCTCATTCAGAAGTTACTTGATGTTTGTACCAATGTAAGAATGTTCCTTATTAAGTGTGTAGCAATAATCCAGATACGTTGACCATTTTATACGACTAATTATATTCTTTATAACGTTTCTTCTCCAAAAAAAAAAGTTACATGGAAATTATTGTATGTTAAAATCTGTTTTGAGATTGGGAGAGACAGATAGAGGAAAGTGACTTCATAGTAAGAAAGATTCCTTCCCATCTAAATCTTTAAATCTTCACTTTTGGGCTGCTTTCCTTTCATATTTACATATTTGCAGAAAATTGGATGACTTAAATTTGCAAAAAGTACCATGAAATATATGAAAATCTATCAGACATGGAGGTAAGCCATCTTTGATATTATTAGGTTAAAGTGGAAAATTGTGATTTGATTTAAGCAATCTTTATGAATTTATTATTTGCAACCCAGAAAAGGCACCCTTCCACCACCACTAATCCAGCTAGCAAACTCTTAGTTTCTGGCAAAGATGTGATATCATTGTACTATATTTTTTGAAATTATTCCTTTTGGACTTAATTTACGAGCAACTTCTCTCCTGTATTAATTATAAATGGTTTTTGGAGATTAATACTGAGGGAAACAGACACAGTGACACTCTGTAGAACTGTTTGTAACAATTAGTTATTTACTATTAATAATGGAGTGGCTTTATAGCTTATAATTTTTAATCAGTGACGGTATTAATCAAATAATCTTGGATCAAAGTCAATTTAGTTGTTTTTTATCCCCTCTGAAACTCGAATTAAATACACTACTCTTCCCAGTTTCCTGTCTTAAAACTATTTTTTAGTGTTGCCTTGAAGCTTAAACAGCTGCAACATTCCAAGCATGAAGTTAGCGATGAGTAAATTACACAAATGCAAATACTGTTAAATTTCTTCTGCAAAAGGGTCTCAAAGGCATAGATTTGCGGGGGGAGTATTTAGATGTCAAAGAATTTCAGACATAAGACTGTAGATATGCCAAAATGATGATTATTGTACAAATAAACATATCGTATAGCCATAGGATAAAGACAAATATTTATTCTCTAAAAAATATTAAATTATATACTCAATTGACACAGAGACTCAAAAGTTCTGGATAATTTGACACAAGCTATCAGAGAGTGACAGAATTCTATGGTTACTGCCCACCTCACCTCCTTATCAAATTCTCTCCTTATAATTACTCAGCATCTATTTTTAATACTTTTTCTTGCATAATTATTAGCTAAGAATTATTTTCAATTGTGCAAGAAGACAACATAATGTTCCATATACACCCTGAGACTTTTAAAGGCCATTTAATGTTGCCTGTTGAACTTTAAAATGAGGGGAGAAGAAGCAATTATAATGGACTAAAAACATGGACAGCAAGAAGACAAAGAATTCTAGTTTCAATATTATATATATTTTCTCTGTGAAATGGACTCTGAAAATGAAAAATAGATACACAAATACTTTTATGAAAAAGTGCTTTTTTGTATACTTCTCTTTCTTTGCCTGTTTTCCCCCACTGGACCGTGAGATCTTTGAGGTCAAAAACTGTTTCTTAAGTCATCTGAGGAACTGGCATGTTTCCCTGAACATAGTATGTGTTCAATGTGTGCTTGTTGTCTCTTCCTTGATTCTCAGGCACACATCTATAGCTAACTGCTCAACCAGACACAGTCGATGTCCATCTATTCCTCATTTTCCTGACTTTATATAAAACAACGTAGAAGCAGCTAACTTCCGTGTTGGGGCCCCACACATCCAGATGGCCTGGAATCTCAAGCCTCAATCACAGAAGCTAATCATCCTCAAAGGTTCTGGTGTGGAAAAGTGCAAACAGGTTAATGCTCATCAGAGATCTTGGCCACCATCTGATTCATTGATATAAGGCAATGCATGGGGTTAAATTTCAGACAAATAAGTCTTTCTTTTTCTTTAACAAAGCATCTTATTAGATTATGAATTTTACTCTTCTGTGCAATGGACCATATATTTTCTTCAGATGACATGAATAAAGATAATCATGTTTTTAAACACTGCAATCATAAACATGGGTCTAGCCCCAAAATATCTCTTGAGAGACTTTATACTTCTGATAATATTCTCATTTTTGAAAATATTTCTATATTATCTCAATTGAACAAGACATGTGGGTACTATGGGAAGCATAATAATTTTGGGATCCATTCAAAACTATATTCTTTAACTGTCCCCAAGTTTTGTTTAGTAAAAGACGATATAAAAGAGAGCAGAGAGGCAGCGATGTGCTCTGGTTAGATAAAAGTTCTTCCTTACCTACTTCTCTTCTTACCAGAACATACCTTTAGGGGGAGTTTCATGCCCTCTATCTAAATATATTAACCATATATTGTTCCCTCCTTGAGGTCCAGTAAAAATTATTTTCCCATCTCATTACTTTTTCAGTGTTCCTCTAAGTGGGTGTTCAGAACAAATATCCAGCTAATCTGGTTCTGTTCACCAAAATGAACTTCAGAGGTATTTCATTCAGCACAGATGAATATTAGATTAGTTGTTTTATTCCAGTCCTTGTGAATCAATGATCAAACTATTTTATGCACCAAATTTTGTAACATTATGGGTTTTCCAGCTATTCTTGAAATATGAATCACCCTCAAAGGATGGAGACTTGTCTTCTTTCAGTATAATGATGTACTATATGTTGGGTAATTGAATTTAAATTAAATTTAAAAATGGGGTTTAAAAATAAATGGAGTTGGATTTAAAGACAATTCCCAAAACGTGATCAAAGGCAGATTCCCTGGCCTGTGGTGCCACCTTCCGAGGCAATTAACTCCAAGGAGCCAATGGAGTTCAGATGTGTATATAGGATTATGCTTATCCAAAAATCAGTCACATTAACATAAATATTGATATTTATAATAAATCTTAGCAAGTGGAATATTTATTTCACAGCTGATTTAAAGAAACACAAGGGCTTATTTACTAATAGTTAAGATGCTATCAATTATAATATCCTCAAGGGCAAATGTTCTCACCTTTTGGGATTTTATTTTTTTAATTAAAATCATTTTAGCTAGAAGATATTTTCCGCAGAAGTTACCATTAGAAAGACCTTAACAAAATCATAAGTTATTCTAGAGTCTTCTTTCTCTAACATTTCTTTTGCTTTTATTAAATTCAGTTTACATCAATGTCCAAAAAGTTAACAATCATTCCATTGTCATGCTATCAACTCTTACTTTATTTTTCAGTACATCGTTCTCTTTGAGATGCCTATTTACATTGTGGTCATCTGTGGTCATCGTATTGTGCCTAAAATTGCATTTCTTAATGTTACACTGAATTTCTGCTTGTTGCTCAAAAGCAGAATTCTCACAAGAAAGCAACAAATTGTGTTATATAGTTAACCCAAAAGGCGAAGCATCCCCAAAATAGTTTCAGACATATTGACTAATTTGAGCAATCCAATTAGTTTCTCCCCATACCTCATACTTACCACAGGGAAGGCATATTTTACATAATGAGATTTACAGAAAGTTCTGTCATTCTGGAGAGAGAGCCATAAAAATATATTATGCTTCAGTCTATTTTCAGCTTTTATTTTCTGCCAAAAAAAGAAAAAATAATTTTGGCAATAACTTGTCAAAGAGTCCCCTCAATTCTTTTTGTTGTTTTAGGGCAACAAAAATATTTTTATGAAATGGAGTTTCTGACCTAAACGCTCATTTCAAAATAGTTTCTTTCACATTCTCAATTCTACACTCTGCCCAGTTTTGTTACGGTCACCTGAATGATATAAAATTTTGCTAACTTATACTGATTTAAGAACCACCATAAAAAGTGTGCAGTTCTATGGACACAAACTACAAGACTGTAACTCCAATAAACAAGATTAGCTTCATGAAATATCTTTCAATGAGCACTTTCAAGTTACCACAGTTTTCCCATCCTATATGGGAAACATTTGAAGGCACTCCAGAGAAATATCTTTTCTTTGGGATGCAAAATTATTATCAAAAAGCTAAAAATATCTATCGGAGACAAAAGATATATCAACAAATAAGCTTTCCCTTCTATTATGGGAAATGGCCTGAGGCACATGCAGAAATAATGGCAAGGGCTTCAATTTTCCTACTGCCTTTAAATATAACTTTTTACTTCAGTTAAAACCAATATTACATTGAAAGTACAATTTTCATAAGCTTCTATAGTTTCTAAAGATATCTTATTGGAAGGGATAGTAAAATTTAAAATGAGATGTAAATCCATTATCACAAATTTGGAATACTTTAGAAGAAATAATGGAATAAAATATATATATAGCACACCAAGAAATTCATAACAGATGTCTCCAGAAATTCAGTATATTTACATACTTTAAAACAGTGTATTTTTCCAAAACATAACATTTCTTCTTTAGGACAATTTGTTTGTTTATAGGATGGTGGGGGTGGGAAAGGAAAAACATATTTTATTCAAAGTTCTATACTTAACGAGGTTGAGTCTTTAGAATTCTTCCACGTGCAGGACATTTCCATTTGGAGGAATATTTGAAAGAATAAAGATTGGTGATTTGCGTCGAGTTATTTTCATGCTTTTGTACATTGCCCTGTGAAACATTTGCTCAGTACTCATTCCTTTTCTTTTTATATTTTTATATTTTATATTTTTAACGATTTCAGGGATTTCAGAGATTGGTGCATAAAAATGTGTGCCAGAGCTGTTTTCAAATATCCTTCCACAGGAATAAGGCTGAATTTGGAGGCTGCATCAATTTTCTTACTTTATGACTTTATAAAGTTTGTTTTGGAATTCTCAGTAGAGTGTGTTCAGGTAGTTTTTACAAAACCTTGCAAACATAAGGAGAAGCTGCAGGAATCTGAAGTTCAAAATTCCAAATAGGAACAACCTATTTTTTCTTACGTCTGGAAGCAAACGTGAGAATCAAACGTTCCACTTCTATTGCTAATTTAGTAACTGCACATCAAAGCTTCAAATACAAATAAATAAAATATTTTCTCATCTAAAGCTACCACCATTTTTTCTTAGTAAAATGCACCACAAAAAGCAAAAAGAAAAGGAGAGGAAGGAAGGAGGGAGGGAGCGAAAGGAAAGATTTTTAAGTGGCCTGCTCGAACAACAACTTCATCTTAAGAAAAAGGAAAACAAACAACCCTTTTAAATATGCTCTATCTTGGTTTTTCTTTGTAAAATTTAAAATTATAAGAGTTTATGTTTTAATTTCAGAGAATATTAGTATGAGGATTTGACATCAAATAAGCATGTATTATACCTTAAGTAAACAGATCTGCACTACTTACTTGCTTATAGATTATTAGCTGAAAGTGAGTATAAATTTGGATTACCTCTCATTCACTTAAAAACACAAACACACACTCATAAAATATCTTTTTATCAAAAGATAACACTTAGAGTTTTATAATCTTTAATTCTAATATCACTTATCTCCTATTCAAATTGTTTTTTAAGCTCTTTTATTTTTTTTAACTGCATGTAAGAATCTAGAATTTCACAGTTCCTTCACATTAGCGTCCTCACACTGGTAGCACATAGACAGCTATTCTGTCCACTCAGCCCTTCTTTCCCATCTCCCAAAAAGCCACTAGGAAATGTGTTTGATCTCAAA